GCACTGTCGCAGCTCATCAATATAGGGGTGCATTACTTGGGAGGACTACCATCCACGCCGAGCCAGAATCAGCAAACGCGAGTCAAGTTCAAATCTGTGCGAGACCATTATTGTCGTGTGTATTATTATTAAAGCTGCGCAACTTAAGAAGTTCGTTTTAAGCAACTCCAGCTTATAGAAGTTAAACAAATTCTCTCTATATATATATATATATGAATGATGATACGAATATATATATACTATATAATACTATAAAGTTACGTATACGAATTATAATTAAACTTGATATGTGATAAACGTCCAAGATTCACTTTGGTTCCTCACTTAGTTATTACACTTCCAAAATGAGCTAATCGGCGTTGCGTGGCGGATGTGTAGGCCTACAAACACTTTGTTGTTTTATCTCCCCCAAGAAAGTTACTATATGGAATTTCAGGTTATTATCGGGCCCTAGACTTCGTGCTCACCTACGCTGACGTAGTTGGCTCTTTCCGAGTGCATTTACATATACGAACCCCACTTTTCAGTGTAATAGCACGCTGTAATTAATCGCCCGTTTTGCGTATCCTTTAAAAAAATAAAAAAATATTTGAGTTAACAAAATATATGTTGCGCGTTGCAATGTAGTGTCGGCCGGGTGCACGGCATTGTAATTTTACAAGTATATAACTACAGATACACGCGTGATACTTGCTTGCCGTATAACCAAGGGTGAATAATAGATAGTATTCGTGATAAATGCGTACTAATAGTGTATGGTATATATAGTAGTAATAATATAACGTATTATATTTGACTCCAGATTATTAGATGCAATGAATTGAGTACTTGGTTGTTACTTAGTAACCTTCTTTGACACGTGAGGGCAGCACCAGGCAGTGATGTTGGCTATTAACAAATCTATTAGTAGACCACCTATTAGTAGGCATGCTTTTCCCTACGCGCGTTACAAGCGATAGCGCGGGTTGGTTGATATCATATCAATTTATATTATCAATTTAATCAATCATGTTATGCATTCGTACCGGCATTCGTGAACGCGTGTGTGCGCGTGCGATATGGCTTGCGTGGGACTGTACGTTCGAGATGGCATATGTTCGTTCGCCTTCACATGCATGTGCGCGTGCGAGCTCAAATGTGTAAGGGAGTGTGTCTTCAGTTTATGTAAAAAAATTATGAGGATATATATATATCGTTTATGTAATTGTCTGAAATAGTTCTTTATCACACATTTTATAGTTAATAAAAGTCTACCCATGAACGTAGTCATAATTTTAAAGGATGGTTGAAATGAAATAACAACTGTGAAAAATAAAACAAATGAATAGAAATATAACTGTCAAAGGGAAAATAATTGTTGCATAGAAGTCTGCGTGCATTAATTCTTGTCTTATTTATAGCACTACGGTTGGGTGACATTGGCAAATAAATGGTACAATTCGTACGTGTAGCAGACTAGTGAAAATGCTTTTCTATATAAATAGTTTAGATGCGTATATTATGTGGTTCTAAAGTTTGGGTCTGTAACCACACGGATTTAACGTAAGTTGTTGAAATGCTTTCATCGTGCGCGTAAATTCTCTCTCTCTCTCTCTCTCTCTCTCTCTCTCTCTCCCTCTCTCTCTCTCTCTCTCTCTCTC